CCTTTTTTTTTTTTTTTTTCCACTTTAATAATTTTACAAGGTGACATTCTGATGATATTAGATCTTGCTCCTTGTTCTTTTTGTATATGAGAAAGCAATTCAGATCACAGAATGCATTCCCAAAAAAGCTTCTCTCATGTTGTGATGCTACAGCCGGTCTGTTTTTCCCTTGCCCCTTTTTCATACCCAACCTTTTGGATATACTCTGTCCTCACCAGCATCCTCATAGTGGAAATCAGCAGAATTTCACTTTGGCAGGATCCATTTTACCTCCTATTAATCACATGGAAGTTATACACCTTACAGCACTAGTTATATAGGCAGCTTATCTAGTCAGTACAGAGGTGGACCCCACCTCGGGTGAATCACCCCCCTGAAAACCTGTACCTAAGCTAAGTGGTATGAACCATGGGCTAGAGATGCTTATTGCTCTTCTTGCTTGTGTTCTTTTACTCTGAGTTAGAATAGCTTCATTTTTTCCTTATTAGTCTTTTGGAGGAAGTGATTTAAAAAAACCCTTAACCAACTCAAAACTATATTTGAAGACTATTTTTCCACAGGTATGGATATTTAAATAATTTAATATTTTATTCAGCTACTGTTGTTTCCAAATGATTATAATTTCTTTCTGATTTCATTTTATTGCAAAGATGCACAAACATTTGGCACAAGTTCAGTTTCTAAAACAGCCTGGTGACATCAGTCAAATTATACAGGGGTGAACATAACCAAGTAGGCTTCTATGGAAGTAACATCAAAAGAAAATTTGGTCCTGGGTATTTCAATTCAAACTTTATTTACCTAAGGTCTTCTGGGAGGTTCTACTGAATCCATTTTAAAAGAAATGTAGTTGCATAACTATTATTTTCATGACCTTTTAATGCAGTATTCTGGGTAAAGGATATTATTGCCAATGGAATTTAAAAAATAAATTACAACTGATCAAATAATTTAGCTGATGAATTTATCCTCTTTGCCTCACAGAATGTCCATAACCACATAGTGGTTTCTTGAGATAGGCTTGCTGTTTGTGCTAGATGACTTTTTAAAGTTAACCTCTGCTTCCACAGGCTGTGAATGACTTTATAGTTAACTGTGTCAAATATTAGAGAGTTGAATGTTACATCTTATATCACAATGAAAGAGGCTGTACCAAGTAATATTACCTTACACTTTTTCAGGCTTAATTATGTGTGCTAAAGCAGTTTTTACTGCTCTGCTGACAGAGAACAGCTTAAGTCATACTAACTGGATTTCAGTCCAAATCCCTAATTGTGATTGATCAAGTAAATTATATATGCATTTAGATGTTTTTCTCTGCTCAGTGACTCAGAAAGCATGGACAGTACTCCTAGGCAGTGCATTAGACAAGTATTTGCCCTGTGATGAGTGGAGAAATTCAAACACTTAAAAAATCAGTGAAATGTTGATCTTGAGCTGAAGTTTGTTAGGGTCATATCTGCAACTTTTTAAAAGTAGGTATCTAAAGCTGCACATGTGTAGCTAGGGCAATTTGGAGAAGCTGTTAACTGTCAGTAAATTAGGAGAATTTAGAGCCCAGGTGTTTGCATGATCTGGTGACTGGGCACAGCTGGGTGATAAAATAAGACCCTTCAGAGTGAATTTGCTCAGAACTCAATTTTCTGAATGGGAACCCTAAAATGGAAATCTACCAAGATCATCAGATTCCTTGGGAAGAAATTTCCCTGAATTCTGGAAGTACTTTGTAGAGTTACCGAGATTTGTATGCCCTTTCAAGTGGACGACAGTAACTTCAATCTGAGCAGGACTAGGCCCTGTTATTTATGTTTCTTCAGCTTAGAGGAAACCACCCTGAAGTGTGAATTTAGTCTTCAGAGGCTTATGAAGTGCAGCTGTTCAGGAAGCAGGAGGTGAGGCTATAGACAACATAGCCATGGAGCAGACTGGTAGAAAATTTGTAGGCATGTGCTGTCTTTGAGTATTTTAAGTAACAGAGCACAACAAAGCCTATCCAACTGCAAACCAGTTGAATTTTCTATTGTGCCTGGGTAATCACAGAAAAGCTGAAACTACCCTAATTTGGAGTTACCAGAAGCCAAGGTACTACCATACTCAAATGCATGGCATGTCAAGAAAAGATGTTCTGAAGCTTGTGATGTAGAACCTCACAGAGAATAGGGACATTGTGTAGATAGTACAGTTATATTCCACATAGTAAGTGAGAAAGCAAAATTTTGCTGACAAATAAGTGTGTAGTATGGGATCCACATTACCACTAAAAATCTTTAAGCGGTTTGTTCCAGAAGAGTTTGGAAAACCATAGCACTTTGGGGTATGTTATACATCTGTGGCATAGCTGTTTCAGAGGGACCATATATGCAAACTCTGTCTCTGTGACTCTCTTTTTGTGAGCTTTAGGGATTTAACAGCGTGCTAAAAGCCCAGAAATTTGCAATCCCCCTTCCAAGCAGACAATGGGCCTGTGGCCTCACCAACAGTGTATGACTGCAGAAGTGCTGGCTAGAGCCCATCTCCAAATTGGACTAGAAAGAGTTAGATCCTGTTGTTTTGTTTTTTATTCTAATGTTTGTATCCTTTTCACACAGCTTTCCTTATGACTGGCTTTTATTTAGCCCTCAAGCTTAACATTTGGAACTTCTATTTGCTGGTTTTTTTTTCATTATCTTGGAAAATAATGTCCATTATTCCAGTAAGCATCTTTCTTCTGTGTCATTTCATTTTCTATTCTATATGAGTCTTTATCCAGTAGCTCATTGAAACAACTGGAGCAATTAAAGCGAACAAGTAACTAACATCTGGTCTGTGTTTACTTGCTCTCTTATACTCTCACCAGGGCAAGAAGTGTGTGATTTGGAATGGTTAGCAGTTTATTATGTTATATATGAATACTTGTTGTTTACAGAAGATCAAAGAGGTTAATGTTGCACTTCAAGTTGAGACTTGCAAAGTTTGCGGTAGCTCTATGTTCTTAGGATATTCCTGACACTGACTTTGGCACTCAAGGCAAAATCGTTTCCAGCTGAGCACAGTTTTACCCTTGAGTAGAAAAAGTTGTTTGAGTGGGTAAAGGGTTCCCTTGAGTAGAGACCATGTTGTGCTGAGGCAGAAGTTGTCATCTCTGGTCTTTACTCTGTGGCTGGAATCACCTGTTTAAATGCCTCGAATTGTTCTGATGGTACCTAGCACAACAAATCATGGCTCAGGAATCAAGGTCCCTGCAAGTCAAACAAGACATTCTTCAGATCCTGAAGCTCCTCTTGACAAAGCTATCATGAATCTTTCCGGTACATTCTTTTCATAACCTAAAAAAATAGCTTAATAGTAGTAATACAGCAGGTTCCGGATCATGGCCTTTCTAAGCAAGATCCACTTTCTCTCTGTATCTTGCACAAATTATGACTACAGTGCCCTCAAAATAAAGCAGTAAATTCTTGCTCACTGAATTTATTATACAGAGCAATTTCATGGAGGCACCATTATGAATATCATCTGCATAATCAATATGGTTTTATACTGCTGTCTCAACAGTAAGTCAGTCTATTGTGCTAAGGATTTGCTGAGCAACTAAGTTCTTGCTTTAGTTATTTCTGAGTCAAACTTGCTTTGTAGCTGTCACGGTCAGAGATGCCCCCAGACAGGACAAAGGGAATGGCTCTAAGCTGAAGGGCTGTAGATTTAGATTGGATATTAGGAAGAAATTCTTTACTGGGAGGATAGTGAGATATTGGCAGAGGTTGCCCAGAGAAGCTGTGGATGTCCCATCCCTGCAAGCATTTGAGGCCAGGTTGGATGGGGCTCAGCAGCCTAGTGTAGTGGAAAGTGTCAGTGGTCATGGCAGGAAGCATTGGAACAAGATGATCTTTAAGGTTCCTTCTGACCCTCACCATTCTATAGTTCTGTGATTCTATGATCTGAGATTGTGCCTGGTTTTTATAATGCTGGCTTACATTGCTAGTGTTCTCATCTTAAAGAATTGCTGAAAGTGGAGATTTTATTGACTGAAATTAATAAGTAGAATCTTTTTGGGTTTGAATATACTTTGACCCCTGTCCATGATATTTATGGGTTTTTTATTTATAGTGTTACGAAACAGAACTTGGATCTAGATCATGAGTTAAGTGTGGTAATCAGATGAGTCCTGCTGCCCTTCTGTGGAGATCAGTGCTTTTATGTTATGTCTTAATCATTCCTAAAAGCTGAAGCCTTGGGAAATGCCTGGAGAAACTACATCTTATAATCCTTCTGTTAGCAAGCAAATACCTGCCTTCAAACTACATCTTAAGGTGCAAAATCACTTCTAAGTCATGGTTTAACCCCAGGTGGCAACTCAGCCCCACACAGCCTCTCATTCCTCCTTGGTGGATCAAAAGGGTAAAACTGAGAAAACTTGTAGGTTGAGATGAGAAAAGTTTAATAGGTAAAGCAAAAGCCATGCAAGCAAGCAAAGCAAAACAAGGAATTATTCACCTCTTCTCATGGGCAGGCAGGAGCTCAACCACTCCCAGGAAAACAGGGCTTCATCACGTATAACAGTGGCTTGGGAAGACAAATGCCATCACTCTGAACGTACTCCCTTTCCTTCTTCTTCCCTTAACTCTGTATGCTGAGCATGACGCCATGTGGTGTCATCTCTTAAGACTGGAGAATGTTGATGCTATCTTGTCACATTTAAAATTCATTTACTTCCATATTAAACTAAAATAAATTAGCGTAGTACACATCAATTAATGTTTAAGAGTCAGAGATTAAAAAAATTTGCTTTCCTCATAGTGAGAAGTTATATATAGTTCAATGACACGTGTAAGAACTGCCAGTTTTGGCTCAAAGACAACTGCTCTTTAGAAGGAAAGCAAGAAAGTGGTTCTACTGTAAGAGTTAAATTATTCTTAGTAACTGTAACATCCTTTTTTTAATCCAATTTCACCTGAAAGTTTTAAATTACAGCAAAATATGAAAACGTTTAAATGTCCTTCTATCTATCTGCAGGTATCCACAGTTAGTTGTTGAGGCAAAATCACTCTGGAGGTTTCATCTCTGAAAACTCTGTTTCCAGAAATGACATTTCAACACCAACTTCTCAGCATTGCCATAGTGGTAATAGCTATACTGTAGCAGAACAGGAATTGCTTCTGGAACTGACCAAGGTCGTAAGAGGGTTGTGACACTTCAGGTGAGTGGGAAGGAAGGCAGAAAAGTAACTGATGGGAGTGCAGATACCCGAATATGCACTAGAAAAAATTCTGAAGTCAGGAATTGGAAATCTTTAAATGCACTTTTGATATGTTTTCAAGAATACAGGATGCTTTTCTGTGGGTTAGTCTAGAAGTAAATTAATTGGTATGTCAACAGAAGTAATTGCAGTTCACATTCAAGCAAACAGCATTGGAAGTAGTGGATTATAAATTGCAACATTATATAAATCAATACAGCTCTACTGACACATAATTGAGAGACACCTACTCTAAAGCTTTGTCCTAAATGTTTTGATGTATTGACAAGTCTTCTCTCTTTAAATTAAAGATTTTTTGCATAATTGAAATACATGTATTTTGTAACTGGTAATTTCAGTGTGATAGTAGAACAGACTGATTTACAGATGAATGCAGCATTCTTCCTTCACCCTGGGAAAAAGGAGACCTAAACCAGAACCTGTTGCTTTAAAATTTGCTAAACCTGTGTTAAACCATCAAACTGATTTAAAACTGTCTGTGAAGTGCTGAATAATGGTATTCATCATTTAGTTTCTTTTGTTTGTTTGTTTGTTTGAAATGTTACAACATTTCACAGTAATCGGAGATGGCAAAAAGAATGTGTCACAAGAGCAAAACTGAATTAAGTGCTCTAACAATATCTTATGTTCTTTTCAGGTTCAATGTAATCTCATTGGGCAACAGCAGTGGAACTTGTCTGTCCAAAATGGTTTATGGGGAATTTTTCCGCAGACCTGGCAAAGATGCAGAACTTATCAATCTGAATGTGGGTGGCTTTAAGCAATCAGTGGATCAAAGCACCTTGCTCCGATTTCCCCATACTAGACTCGGAAAACTTCTCAAATGCCATTCAGAAGAGGCTATCCTAGAACTGTGTGATGATTATAGTGTTGCAGATAAAGAATACTACTTTGACAGAAATCCTTCCTTGTTCCGATATGTTCTGAATTTTTACTATACGGGCAAACTTCACGTTATGGAAGAACTCTGTGTCTTTTCCTTCTGCCAGGAAATAGAGTACTGGGGGATAAACGAACTGTTTATTGATTCCTGCTGCAGCAATCGGTACCAAGAAAGGAAAGAAGAAGGTCCTGATAAAGACTGGGATCAGAAGAGCAATGACAGTATAGACTCCTCTAATGAAGAGTCATCCATATTTGATAAAGAACTAGAAAAGTTTGACAATCTGTGTTTTGGTGAAATAAGAAGGAAGATCTGGGTCAGAATGGAAAATCCTGCATACTGCTTGTCTGCCAAGTTAATTGCCGTGTCATCCCTGAGTGTTGTCCTGGCATCAATTGTGGCCATGTGCATTCATAGCATGCCAGAATTTCATAGGGTGGATTCCCATGACAGGGAGATTGAAGACCCTGTGCTGGAAGCTGTGGAGATTACGTGCATCATCTGGTTTACTGGTGAACTAGTGATCAGGCTCATCGCCGCTCCAAGTCAAAAGAAGTTCTGGAAGAAACCACTCAATATCATTGATTTTGTCTCTATTATCCCGTTTTATGCCACACTGGCTGTGGACACAAAGGAAGAAGAAAGCGAAGATATTGAAAACATGGGGAAAGTGGTTCAGATCCTGCGGCTAATGAGGATATTTCGCATCCTGAAGCTGGCCAGGCATTCCGTAGGACTGCGGTCTTTAGGCGCCACTCTGAGACACAGCTATCAAGAAGTTGGACTTCTGCTTTTGTTTTTGTCTGTTGGGATTTCTATTTTTTCAGTGCTTGTCTACTCAGTGGAGAAAGATGATGACTCATCAGAACTGCAGAGCATCCCTATTTGCTGGTGGTGGGCAACCATCAGCATGACCACTGTTGGTTATGGGGACACTTACCCAGTGACACTTGCTGGAAAGCTGCTTGGCACTCTATGCATTATCTGTGGGATACTGGTGGTAGCACTTCCAATCACCATCATTTTCAACAAGTTTTCTAAGTACTATCAAAAGCAAAAAGCTATTGATACAGACCAATGCAACAATGATCGCAAAGAGAAGTGTAACGACCTACCCTATTTTAACATTAGGGATATTTATGCAAAAAAGATGCACTCTTTCATTTCTAGCCTTTCTTCAGCAGGAATTGTAGTCAGCGACCAAGATTCAACAGATGCCTCCAGTATCCAAGATATGGAGGATGTTTATAACCCGATATCTTTAGAGAATGGTACAGGAAAATGAGTTGAACTCTGTTGTCTTCTCTTTATTTGTCTTCTGATTCTTGGTAAATGTGGACTTAGAAACTTCTGTGAATTCATTAAGAGCAGTCAATTCTCAGGGTACTTAACTCTCAGCCATATTTGGACATTCTTTGCTCTGAGGATGCCATAAAAGCTTCATTGTTTATATGAGGCTTTAAAATATGCCTCATATGGTGGTTTAGTTTTTACACACTGATGTTATGCATTTTTGGGGAGAAACAGTTGGGAAAACAGTTTTAAATGTGAGATCAGTGGTTTTTTTTGGTTTTGTGAATATTCTGTTTGCTTTGTTGGTTGGCTTTTGCCCTGCAGCAGTCTGATATCTTATACAGAATTTGCTATTATGATTTGCTGCTCTTCAGGTAGAGATATATAGTTCTTACAAACATATAAGAACTATTGCACAAGTTAGTGAAATTTTTACCTGCAAATACATTAGATGAAAGAAGGAATTACGTACACATAAATCTGTGCTCACTAACACATTTATGTAATCGTAGAGTTGGGAACCTGTTTCCTAAGTTGGGGCAGAAAATATATTGATACATACTATTTTTACTCCATGGAAGCGTAATATTCATGAACTTCTTTCGAAAAGCACAATACATTTTTAGTTTGTTAAAATAAATTATTCCCATTGTGCCTACAATTTTCCCAGGACCCACCATGGCCAAGTTCTATCAGGTCCAAAAGAGTCTAAATCATAAGTCCCATGATGAAGTCTCTGGTGTAGGCAGGACAGAAGCTTCTTGCACCATTTAGCCACCTTTTCTGCCATTGTGAACCTGAGCAATTCTGGTGCCTGGAGAGGATCCTGCTGTGGTTAAGACCTCCCCTGTGGCTTCCCCAGAGACTTTGTTTTGTGGGCACTGAAGCAAACACCAGTGGTGGTCTTAAGAAGTTACTGCTCCTTGCTGGAGGTTCCTGCTTTGGGGGTAGGAGCAGTGTGAGCACCATCTGCAGTTGTGCTGGGTCTGAGTCTGGGGCTGTAGTGCCAAGCAGTGAAGATGTGAGGACATGCCATATATCTGCCCATCAGAGATGTAGGATGGGCACTGCATGTGGGCACCTGTTTTTAAACTGTTTCAGCTCCTTTTTCTAAAGCTCATCTGCTGGTGATGGCAGCTTTCCTGGTGTGTGCTATGTGCTGGAGTAGCACTCAGTGCCTGGCAGAGTGCTGCAGCTCTGTGCATTCCTCTCCTCTCAGAGGATTTCTTATGCAGCCAGCTAATTCTGCTCTCTTTCAAACACGATCTTCTAGGGCAATTTAAAAGGAAAGCCAGTCCTTCAGCCTAACATAAAGGAGTGCTGGAGAAGCTCAAGGACCTTATAGTGTTTAGTGGATCTTATAGTCTGTGGTGTTTCTGAACATTCATTTTCTTTCATTTGTCTAGTGACTTAATTAAATGCTGGGCAACAGAGAATTGAAGACACTGTGATGTTGATATTTTCCTGAAAGAGGGGTTTGACTACTTTATTATTTTTTAATATTATTGGGCCAAATACAGAAGCCTGTACTGAGTTTCTAGTCAGGAAGATCAAACTGAGTAGGAGTTAACTTCAAAACTGAATAAGATGCCAGAAAGACGGCAATCCATTTTAACTGCTGCAAAAGCTTGATTTTTTCAAGTGTCTGCCAGATTTTCTAATGCAAAGTACATTAAGTAAGTAGCTGAGGTGCATTTATATTTGCTGAGGTCTAGAGCTCTAACCTCTTTCTGAGATGGAGAAACAAAAAAGAAGAGGATCAACCTACACATTGGGAAGAGGTGTCCCTCAGGATTTCTGTGCACCAACATAGTGACGTGGGACTTAAAGGGAATATTTTGAGCTTTGGAGCAACCTCAAAATTTGGCTTATTACTTGCTGAATGTTTTAAGTGTATGTGATGCTTCACATATAATTAAATGTAATTCTTCCCATACTTAGTGCAAAAGAGAAAGTTAACCTAAATGTGTTTTATTCTTACTGAACAATTAACATTAAAAAGATGCAGTAGTATAAAATATTAAATATCTATGCACAACTGAATCTAATAGGAACTAGCGGAATAACAGCAAAAAAATTACCCCCGTCCAAAGAAATTCTCCTGGTAGTCTCCATATAAAGATATATTACATTGCCTCTGAAGATCAAAAGAAATGAAAAATATTGCAATACAAAAACCCTACAAGAAATTTGTATTAAATACTTGAAAAAATGCTACTGAAAAATCTCATTTTATGTATCAAACATTACTCAAGGATCACAGAGTATAAAATTTTGTGTATTAAATTTTACTGACTGGTAATTTGTCATAAAATCGATAAACTCTTGATCAAACACATGAATCAGTCTTAAGGCTGTGACACTGTGTAATTTCATCTGAATTGTTTTGTGCATAGATACAGCTTGCAGCAAGGTGAGATGTGTCTTTCGGAACACATCAGAAGGTAAAGTACATATCCATGTATCATGCAGTATATACTATTTTGATTTCCTTGATGAGATCTTGGCCTTTTCCAAATCAGTTATGTTTAAAAAATGGCTTTCTTGTATTCTGATCTGTCTACTGGAATGAATCTAGCACTCTGGTTTCACATAGGTGTAAGTGGGAGGAGGATGTGATCTGTGTTTTGTACCAAAGGATACTCCTCTCAAGGCAGAACTGCAGCCCTGTGTCATGCTCTGGTATTGCAGTGTCACAAGCCCTGAGCAGATCAGATAGATACTGCACGTTCTTCTTGCTAGCAAAAGTTCTTAGTAGAATAATTGTCTAGTAAGAAATAAGTGTAAAAGGGATTGTTTCTTGTTTAATTTGCCTTCTTCCTTAGTCTGTAGTGGCATATTATCAATTTGTGATACCGGTGTCAACAGAAAGTACAATTGTTTATTGTTTTTGTTTTCCTGAACCACACTTTTCCCCCTAAAAATGCTTCCTAAATTCCCACCACCCAGCTGCTCTGTTTCTGATGGCACCAAAGCACAGAAAAGGTTACCGTTCAGATATGCATCCCACTTTGTATGGGAGGGATTTGTTTGTTCTTATGCAAAACGATTTACTGGTGTCTCACTACTTTCTTTGTCTTGATGCCAAACTCTTACCTTTCGATATCCAGTGTTTCCACAGGAGCATCCATCTTTGTAGTGGTTTTCCCTGATGTATAATGACAAGACAGCACTGCACTGCATTGCAGTTCCCTGTTTGAGAGGCTTCCAGCTGGCAGGGGTATCACCCAACTGCCCAGAGCTCCTGCCTTGCTGGGAGCAGGCTCTCTCACTGGGACCATTTTTGGTGTATGTCAGTAGAGGGAAAAGCCCAATGTAAAGGAATCAGAAAAGAGAAATGAGAGAAGGCAAGAATCTGTCAATCAAAAGGGATGATGGAAAAGCCTGAGAGGACCTTAGAAGAAAGGAAAAGAGGAAGTTTACAGAAAGAGGCCTCACTTGTCTTTACTTTATTTCTGTTTTTTTCTGTTTGTTTTTTTTCCACCAGTGCTCTTCTCCCCTTTCCTCCCTTTTCCTCTGCATACCCTCTTTCTGCCACTGTGGGCTCCCTGCCCATCCAGTAGTCTCTTTCTGTCCCAGAACAAGGGTCTTTCTGAGTCCAGAAAGGCATATTTCATCCACCTGGATAGCACCAAGCAGAACTTGGTGGGAATGAAATTAGTGAGCACTCTTGCTGTTTATATGAGCAATCATTAACACACAGGCAGTGCTTTCTGTAAGAAAAGTCACAGTGTCACTCAAATTATTGAGCATAAATGTGAGGAAAAAACCAGCACATTTGTGTCAGGTGTGTAAATGAAATACCGCTTTTATCTTGGGTAGAAATTAGTGTCAGGCACCATAATCTGAAATATTGCCTTTTAAAAGCAGACTCCTTGTCGATTCCCATGTGAATAGGTCACTGTTAGGGAGTGCTGGGAGTATCAGGCAGATTTGACTGACAAATACAGTACAAGGGCTCACGGTGTGCCAAGGGCTCCTGACAGGCTGTTGTGTATTAATACATTTATTCATTTCCACACATTCCTAACATCTAGAGTAAGTGACAGAAAACCACTAAGCTGTGGAGAGCTTCTCTAATATTTTTTGATTAGCTGACAGTGTTTGTGAAGCTGCTAATACCTCTTCATCCAGAAGAGGACATTTCTCAAACAAAATCAGAATAACCCTCAGCTAGATGTGCAATTTGTGACTGATTGCAGTAGCTCAGTTGCAGTTGGTAAATAATGCTGTCTGGGGCTGTATGGCTGCAGTGTTGTTGCTTGTACTTTTGAAATGTTTTTGCTCTGCCAATCAAGAGACAGCAGATATCACGAAAACCATCTCACTGCTTTCCTGCTGCACAAGAATTGCAGTGTCTCTTCTAAGCATAGCAAAATGTCATGGCTTGCTGAGACCTCTTAACTTCTTGCGTAGTTGTAGTTAGTTTTTCCTGATGAACTTATGGTCTAAGCACAATTGCCAGAAGAAAAACTCACTGTAAGTCTCTAGACAAGTTACAAGATGCTGTTAATGACTTCCACTCGGGGCATTGCCCTTCCATCTCACTGGCATAACTGAGGTGGTGCAAGGAGTGGTAATTCACTGTGGTATGGGCTGATAGCTGTTACAGGTAGTGAAGGAGTAATCCATCCTTGGGGATGAATATAATTTATACGTAATTGTATATATTCCCTCTGGACAGAGCTCATTTAGGTATATAATCAGATTAAATATGAAGTGTGACACTTCCCCTGAGAAAACATCTACAACTCATCTTTTTAATGAATATATTGGAGGGAGCAGCCTTTGCTTAGGTCAAGGGCTGTGGCTCAAGAATTCTCACATCCACACATCAATTTTCTCCAAATCCTGTTTACCATTGGGAGGGAGAAACTTTACAGCATCCCTAACAGGCCCATGAGCCTTTAGGCCAAGGAATTGGGTCCCCAGGATGAGGGCTGGTGGTGAGGGAGAGCCTTCACAGAGGGAGAACCAG